ATCCCTCCAAGGCCCCTAGTATTCCAAGCTCCACAAGGCGGAATTTAATTGTCTATTCCTTAACCTAAAAATCAAACTTTTCTTGGGGAAACTGAATCCTCTGCTTTATATGCCATTACTATCCTCAAACACTATACTCATTAATTCAATAACTTAAAAAAAATTTTTAAGGTATACTATTAAAATCACTATGTTAAATGTAAGAGAAGCCAGAAATTAATAAAAGAACAACCCCCAAAGAGCTTACTAGCTTGTATCAATGAACTACTTATTTTAAAAATACATTGCACTGTGCTAAAGTATATGTTATAGAAGAGTTATGAATAAAAAAGCAATGCAGGGATAAATAAGAATTAAAAACAAAAGTCACAAATGAAGTATTATAAAGGATAAACAAGAGACCACCAAAGAAACAAAAAAGCATTTCAGCAAAAGGTGCAGTATGAGCAAGGTACACTTACTTGTTAAAGATTGAGAACTTACATACAGTACTAAAAAGCAGGATAGTAGCTACATTGGAGAGTGGTGGTGATTTGGGTGGGACATGAAAGGGACACTCCTGAGATGCTAATAATATTCTGCTTCTTAATTTGGATGTTGTTTCCATGTTGTATGTCTGTCTCAGGAAAATTTGTGGAGCTTTTACTTAGAATTTATCCACATTGCTATATATGTTGTATGTCAATGAAATCTTCCCCCCAAAATACCAAGTTAGGGCTAACCTGAAATGCTATATAAACCAGTTCTGATCTTGACTGACAATTTCCTAATTCTGTCTTTGTTCAGACTATGAGCTCTCTGCTCAAGAAACCCCCCCCCTTTTTTTAAGATTTATTCATTTATTTATTTGAGAGAAAGAGAGAGAGAATGGCCATGCAAGTTGGGGGAGGGACAGAGAGAGAGAAACTCAAGCAGACTCCCTGCTGAGCACAGAGCTCAACACAGGGTTTGAACCCATGACCCTAAGATCATGACCTGAGCTAAAACCAAGAGTCAGGTGCTCAACTCGCTGAGCCATCCAGGCGCCCCTCAAGAAATCCTTTCTTTTCAGTTCTGTTTATGTATTGATCCAGTACAAATCTAAATTGTCCCTGGGCACAATTAAGTTCTCCCTATATCACTTCTACAGCAACTATCACAGTCTGTCTTGTGTATGTTTGTTTATTCCTAATTCACCAAAAATTGTTACTTCTGAAGACCTTTGTTAACACAGTTCCCAGTGCAATAGTACACATATAGTGCTCAAAAACTGTTTGCTTCATTGAACTAAAGTACATCAGGTAATTTTTACCTGAAAGGAGCCAAAAGTCCAAGCTAAGATGTAGGAAAAAAAAAATAGGTAATGAGATCCAGAACATTATCAAGGTCTATGAACTGAAGAAAGATATTCAAAATTGTCTTTAATTATATGCAGCAGGCTTACACTGAGAATATAGACTTGAAATGAATTCAACAGAGTAACAGTTGTTCGATGGATGGAGAGGAGGACCACAACCATTCCAGCATTGCAGTTCCGGGGAGAAATGCAAAGTATTCCATCCCTGTACCAGCAATTGAATGCTAAGTAACAAACTATCCCAAAATTTAGTGGTTTAAAAAGGATATATTTGATTATGGGTATGCAATCTGAGCTTGATTCAACTCGTTGGTTCTTCTGCCTGTCTTGCCTGAGCCACTTGTGTGAGTTCATTCATTTGAAGGTTTGTTCAACTACCACTGGAAATCCAAGATGTCTTCACACATGTCTGTTACTTCAGATGGAAATGTAGAACAACTGAGAACTAAATGAGTGGTCTCTCCCACTGGGTAGCTCGATCTCTTTTCTGGTGGCTCGGGATGTTAAGAAAGAGTATTCGAAGAGGACAAGCTCCAATATACAAGTACTTATTAAGCCTTGCTAATGCCCCAATGACTGAAGGAAGTAAAAACGGCCAAGCCCAGGCCTGTGTGGTTCACAAGCCTACACAAAGGCATACATCCTGGGAGATGTGGCTCACTGGGAGAGCCAATGGAATGCAAAATAGTTAACCTTCCTTAAACTCATTGTTCTGTAAAATTCAGCTGCTATAATGACTTGTATGAGACAAAAATAAGATATAGAAAATAAAGTACAATAAATGTCAGTTCCTTTCGTACCATTTTTTCAATCTCCAAGAAACTCCAACTAAAAAAGAATTCAATAATTTCTTCATTCACGTCATTATAACCACAAGCCACGGACACTTTGGCTAAATAGGAGCAGGAGCTCAGATACTACTTAGTGAGAGAAGTTAAACAGATTGGATCACATGGGGGCTTGAGCACCTCCTGCCAGTGATTTTGATAATACCCCAGCCCATATGCATCCTCTTGCCTCCACTGATTGGCATAAGGCCTGGAAACCCTCCTGGGGGACAGAAAGCAGGTGGTAAAGATTGAATCCTGCATACTATTAATTTTTAACAAATATAATGTGTGATGGGCTGGGAGAGTCCCAACAGGAATAATGATGTCAGGAAGGAAAAACAGGGGAAGTGAGCCAGATCCAGTGAGTCAGATCCAGTAATAGCATTCAAAAGGCAATGTTGGCTCCAGGGTCAATGACACACAGCTGATACCAGAAACTACATTAGCCCAGCCAATCTGGAAGCACTTGGACGCTCTGGAAGAAAGTGACTACATGTTCATATGAATTGAGAAAGCTTGTGAGGCCCCAAATATTCTGGTATTATCAGACACTTGATTAAGCATAACAGCAGGGAGGAGTTTCCTATGGCTGCCATAATGAAGTATCACAATCTGAGTACTTAGAAAAACAGGAATTTATGGTCTCACAGTTCTGGATGCCAGAAGTCTGAAACCAAAGTGTCAGCAGGGCCATGTTCCCTCTGAAGATGCCAGGGAAAGATCTGTTCTGTGCTTCTCTCCAAGCTTCTGGTAGCCACAGGTGTTTCTTGGCTTGCTGATGTATCACCGCATTCCTAACCCCATCACACCAAAGGGCCATTTCACATCATCTTCCTCTGTGCATATCTGCTTCTGTGTCCAAATTTCCCCTTTACATGACACTAGTCATATTAGATATTGGGCATTATGCTAATGGCGTCATTTTAACTTAATTACTTCTATAAAGACCTATTTTAAAATAAGGTCACAGTCTGAGGTATGGGAGGCTCAACGTATCTTTTTTAGGGTGCACACAGTTCAACCCATACCAGAGGATGTACTCCATTTTGCACCCACAAAAAGTATGCTGGCCAAATTGACTGAGCTCTACGCAAAGGTGTCCACTGAAGCAGCAACAATGATGACACAGAAAGCAGGCAGCTCAATCAGACCTCACACCTCAGCTAGATCTTAGAGTCTAAGATCTGTAGTCTAGGTGCCAACAGTGGAGCTTCATACCAACTGTCATGACTCAAAACAAATGAAGCCCATGGGAATTTGGACAGCAGCTCTTCCAGAATGGCACCTCTTCAAGACTTTGGGAACTGAGCTGTGATATTCCAGTTTGATCGGTCAAGGCAGAAATGAAAAGATCTATATTGCTAATCACTGTATTACTTTTGGATTTCCACCTTGCCTCAGGAAAAAAGTTCTCTTTGTTACCAGGAGCTACAAGCACTGATTTGCAGCTTTACCAGAGACAATAGTAGCATTATGTTTTTACTAATGACAATCTGATTTCACTGATTATCTGATGCAGTGGATTTTCAGCTCACAAATGATGATTATGGTGGTAACCACCAATAACAGGTGAAATTCCAGAATAGCACAAAAGCAGAACTACTGGGACAAGAACAGCAGCAACTGATTACCAGTTCTAATTGAAAGACATTAGTAAGTAGTACCTCTAAAACTTCAGGGTAGTATTTCAATAGCAGGACCCAGAAAGACCTACAATTCTTTCTAAAAAGTGAATGGAAACTTGAAGCACTGAAATTTGGGTATCGGAGGTCACTAAAGCCTGTGACATTCAGGATACATCTTGTTTTACCTAAGAATCCATTAACATAATCCTTTAAATAGCTTTTCTGCTAGACTTAGAATTTTTCAATTAACAAAAACTAGATTTCTGAAAACTTAAAAACTAATACATATGTTTTTAGATTGGGTGTAATTAGGCTCTAATTACCCACTAGCTACATATGGAGAAAGAAATGGTATTTTACTTTGTGATTTAAGTCTTTGTGATTTAAGGGTTTATGATAAAATACACCTTTCCTCTGTAAATCAGCATAGATATTGATCACAACAATATGTATTAAAGTGCAAGTTTGGAAACATCCCAAATGTCTTACTATACAGGAATGATTGGATAAGTCTACTCATAAATGGAATATTACAGAATCATTAAAAACTATGTTTGTGAAGAATATTAAATGAAATATAAATGCAGGGGCCCCAGGGTGGCTCAGTCATTAAGCATCTGCCTTTGGCTCAGCTCATGATCCCAGGGTCCTGGGATCAAGCCCCACATCGGGCTCCTTGCTCAGAGGGAAGCCGGCTTCTCCCTCTCCCACTCCCCACTTGTGTTCCCTCTCTCGGTGTGTCTCTCTGCCAAATAAATAAATAAAATCCTTAAAAAAAAAGAAATGATAATGCTTACATTATAACATTAAAAGAAAAAAGTAGGACATCAAACTATATGTAGTGTGACTACAATTTGATTTAAAGAGAGAAAGAGAGATGCCTGGGTGACTCAGTTGGTTGAGCATCTGCCTTTGGCTGAGGTCATGATCCCAGGGTTCTGGGATGGAGCCCCACAAGTGACTCCTTGCTCAGTGGGGAGCCTGCTTCTCCCTTTCCCTCTGCCTGCTGCTTCCCCTGCTTGTGCTCTCTCTATCCTCTGTCCCTGACAAATAAATAAAATCTTAAAAAAAAAAGTTATGCTTAAAAAAAGAGAGAGAAAGAGAAACCAAGCAAGAAACAAATGTCTAGAAGAAACTATAAACATATATTAAAATGTTAAACCTTATCTCCAGATGGCAGGGTTACAAGTAACTTTTACTTTCTCTCACCATCTTTGTGTTATCTAACTTCCCTGCAACCAAAATATTTTCAAAATCAGCAAGCAAACAATGGCATTTTTTAAAATCACCATGATACTTTTAGCTCATACATTGCAAAAGAGTGGAGAGGTCTACTCCCTAAGCCCAGAAGCTTTAAATTCAGAGGATAAATTCGTTTATTGAGAAAATAGTAACCAGGGGCATCTCGGTGACTCTGTCAGTTAAACATCTGCCTTCAGCTCAGGTTATGATCCCAGGGTCCTGGGATCGAGCCCTGCATCGGGCTCCCTGCTCAGTGGGGATTCTGCTTCTCCCTCTCCCTCTGTCCCTTCCCCCTGCTTATGCTCTCTCTCTCAAATAAATAAGTTAAATCTTTAAAAATATAGTAACCACACAAAAATTATAACACTAGTGGGGCACCTGGGTGGCTCAGTGGGGAGCCTGCTCTCCCCTCTCTCTCTCTATCTGCCTGCCCCTCTGCCTACTTGTGATCTCTGTCTGTCAAGGAAATAAATAAAAGCTTTAGAAAAAACTTATAACACTAGTCAATGATATTTATATATTATTCTCAGAAAGAAAAAATTACTGCTAGACATGCAATAGAAATAACTGAATCTCTGATGGTAAGAGAAAGTTAAAGGCTGCTAAAACAATGTCCTTTAGTACTGACAATTATTATTCATGTCAAGTTAATTGTGAATAAGATACAAACACACACCTTCATTATTGTCATCCAGACTATTAAATGCCAGCCTCATTTTTTCTCCTGGTCTTTAAGGTACCGCAAAAATTCTCCAAAGTCCAATCCTGAATCCTCATTGGTATTTCCAGCTTTAAAAATGTCCTACAAGAGGGGCGCCTGGGTGGCTCAGTGGGTTAAAGCCTCTGCCTTCGGCTCAGGTCATGATCTCAGGGTCCTGGGATTGAGCCCCGCATCGGGCTCTCTGCTCTGCAGGGAGCCTGCTTCCTTCCCTCTCTCTCTCTGCCTGCCTCTCTGCCTACTTGTGATCCCTCTCTCTCTCTGTCAAATAAATAAAATCTTTAAAAAAAATGTCCTACAAGAAAGAAGAAATTGATTGCAGAAACTTATTGCAAGTAAACCCACTGTAGCATGCTAACATTGGCACATTTCACTCATATTAATTATTGTCTTAGTTTTTCAGTCACAGGTGAAAGGCTTCTAGGAACACTTGTGATTTTTTTAACTTGTGCAATACTAGAGAATAGCCACCATGTCATTCCAAATAATTCTGAATTTATAAGTAGTTATTTAACAGAGGTAAACAATGAATGCCAAGTACCTTGAGAGAGGAAAGATACTAAGATACATAATCTTTGCCATCAGAGACCTCACACTCTATTAACTAAATGAGAGAAAATACTTAAATTTTTAAGAGAACTTAGGATGGTGGAGTAGTAGAGTAACCCTGGGCTTCTTCCTCCCTCAAACACAGCTAGTTAAACATCAAATCATTTTGAACACTTAGGAAATCAATCTGAGGATTAAGAAAACAATTTGCACAATTAGAGGGAGAGAATATGGCAGATACTAGGTTTGGAGCCATGAATTAGGGGAGAGAAAAGCTGCGGTGCCACAGAGGAGAGGGAGTACTTTTTGTAGAACAAAGCTGGGGAAGGAGAGAGAGAGTAGTGGAAGGGTCTGTGAAAGACGTCATGGTGTGGGGATCCCCTGGGTGGCACTAGGAGAGAAAGGTCCCTTTCCCAGAGTACATTTGGAAGAGGGTTTTGATTTTGCTTTCTATAAAAGATTTTACTTATTCATTTGAGAAAGAGATGGCAACAGTAACAGCATGAGTGGGGAGAAGAGAAACAGGTTCCCCACAGAGCAGGGAGCCCAACATGGGGCTTGATCCCAGGACCCCGGGATCATGATCAGGGCTAAAGCAGATCCCAACTGACTGAACCACCCAGGTGCCCCCTGGAAGAGGGTTTTAAGATCTGGAGTTTTGAAACCCAGCCACGGGCCAGAGATAAAGCACAGATGAACTCTGGCACCAGGCATGCCCATGGCTGGGCACAGACATTATGAGGGAAGAGATTTGATGAAAGCTTGGGGCAGAGAAGAGGACATGGTTCTCTTTTCTGTGAGGTCCACCTATATGGGGAGGCCATGAGCATCCCTCCCTAGAGATGAGAGGGCAAGGTGATGGCATCTTCCACCCCACCCCCACCAATACCAGCACTGTCAGACTTCAGACAGAAACATAGCATGTCCAGGAGAGGTTGGAGTCACTTACAACAAACCCAGGGCCCCTGCACCTGGCAGGGGCATTTTTATAAGGACAGTCCTGACAGTGAGACAGAGCAGTGGGCCTCTCCTTCAGAAGACCAACACAGGTCGCTATGATGTACCAGGTCTACTGATCACAGAGTGCCCCAAAGAATCAGCCTCAGTTCCAGTGGAGCTGGTTTTTTCTTTTCTCTTTCTTTCTTTGGAATCAGGCTCATAGTTTTTTGTTCTTTTGTTGATTTGTTTGTTTCCTTTTCTCTCTCTCTCTCTCTTTTTTTTTTTTTGGCTCAGGCTTCTTTCTTTTCTTTTTTCCTTCCTTCTTTTTCTTTGGACTCAGGATTATACTTTTGTTTGTCTGTTTGTTTTTTGCTCCTTCTCCTTTTCTCTTTTCTTTGATCAGGCATTCCCCCTCCACCCCTTTTAGGCATATCTTAACAAACAAATCAAAGCACACCTAGTTAAAAGTCCAAGCACTCCCCACTACAAAGAAGGATGACCTCTGCAGAGGACTGACCTGTGAAAATGAGCAGCCAAAACACAATAGCATACATCAGAAACACTTCCCAAAATGCCAGGCCCTGGACAGTATATGGCCCTTTCATAACATGTGAAAGACAGAAACCTAGACATAATGACAAAATGGAGGAATTCTCCCTAAAAGAAAGATCAAGAAGAAAGCACAGCCAGGGATTTATTCAAACAGATATAAGCAATATATCCAGACAAGAATTTAGAACAACAGTCAAAAATACTAGCTGGGCTTAAAAGAAGCATAGAAGACACCACAGCAACACTGGCTGCAGAGCTAAAAGACCTAAGATATACATCATAATAAAAACTGTATCTATAACTGAGATGCAAAACTGACTGGAGGTAATGACAATGATGATGGAAGAGGGAGACTATTGAATAGGTGACACAGAAGATAAAATTATGGAAAATAATGAGGCTAAAAAGAAGAGGGAAAGATAATTATTAGATCATGATTACAGACTTAGGGAATTCAGCAATTTCACAAAATGCAGTAATATCTGTATCATAGGGGTCCCAGAAGAAAAAGAGCAGGAAAAAGGGGCAGAAGGTTTATTTGAACAAATTATAGGCATTCAAGTCCAAGAGGCACAGAGAACTCCCCTCAAAATCATCAACAACAAAAAAAGTCAACACCAAGACATATAGTAGTGAAACTTGCAAAATACAAAGATAAAGAGAGAATTCTGAAAGCACCTAGGGACAAAAAGTCCTTAAACTATAAGGATAGTCAAATAAGGTTAACCGCAGATCCGACCACAGAAATTTGGTAGGCCAGAAGAAAGTAGCATGATATATCCAACGTGCTGAATGGGAAAAATATGCAGCCAAAAATTCTATATCCAGCAAGACTGTCAATCAGAATAGAAGGAACAATAAGGAGTTTCCAAAACAAACAAAGACTAAACAAGTTCGTAGACACAAAACCAGCTCTGCAAGAAATATTAAAGGGGACACTCTGAGCAGGAAAGAGACACCAAAAACAACAAAGACTAGAAAGGAATAATCTACAGGATCAGTGACTTTATAGGTAATACAATGGCACAAAATTAATATCTATCAATAATCACTCTGAATGTAAATGGACTAAATAATTCAATCAAAACACATAGGATTAAAGACCCATCAATATGCTGCTTACAAGAGACTCATTTTAGGGGCATCTGGGTGACTCAGGTGGTTAAGCATCTGCCTTCAGCTCAGGTCGTGATCCTGGGGTCCTGAGATCAAGTCCTGAAACAGGCTCCCTGCTCAGCAGGAAGTCTGCTTCTCCCTCTCCCTTTGTCCCTGCCCTCTGTTCATGCTCCCTCTCTTACTTTCTCTCTAATAAATAAATAAAATATATATTTTTTTAAAGTCTTAGAGGGGCGCCTGGGTGGTTTAGTGGGCTAAAGCCTCTGCCTTCAGCTCAGGTCATGATACCAGGGTCCTGGGATCAAGCCCCGCATTGGACTCTCTGCTCAGCAGGAGCCTGCTTTCCTCGCTCTCCACCTACTTGTGATCTCTGTCTGTCAAATAAATAAATAATATCTTTTAAAAAAGGCTTAGACACAAAGATACCTCCAGATTGAAAATGAGGGGGTGGAGAATAATCAATCATGCTAATGAACACTGAAAGAAAGCTGGAGTAGCCATACTTACATCAAATTAGATTTTAAACCAAAGTCTATAATAAGAGATGAAGAATAGCACAGTATCATAATAAAGGAATCTATCCAACAAGAGGATCTAACAATTATAAATATTTATGCTCTAATTTGGGAGCAGCCAAATATATAAATCAATTACTAACAGACTTAAAGAAACTTATTGCTAATGATACAATATAATAATAGGGGACTTTAACACCCCACTCACATCAATGGAGAGATCTTCTAAGCAGAAGATCAACAAGGGAACAATGGCTTTGAATGACACACTGGACCAGATGGATTTTACAGACATATTCAAAACATTTCATCCCAAAGCAGCCGAATACACATTCTTGTCAAGTGCACATGGAACACTCTCCAGAAAAGATAACATACTGGTTCACAAGTCAGGCCTCAACCAGTGGAAAAGATTAAGATAATACCATGCATATTTTCAAACCACAATTCTATGAAACATGACAAACACAATTTAGAAAGAATAAAGAACATAAGAACAAGAAAACACAAGAACAATTTGGAAAGACCACAAATACTTAGGGGTTAAAGAGCATCCTCACTAAGGAATGAATGAGTTAACCAGGAATTTAAAGAAGAAATTTAAAAATACATGAAAACAAATTAAAATGAAAATATAACAGTCCAAACTTCTGGGACACAGCAAAGGCAGTAATAAGAGGGAAGTATATATCAACACAGGCGTTCCTCAAAAAGCAAGAAAAGTCTCAAATCACAATATAACCTTACACCCAAAGGAGTTGGAAAAAAATAACAACAAATAAGGTCTAGAACCAGCAGAAGAAGGGAAATAATTAAGATTAGAGCAGAAATAAAAGATACAGAAATCAAAAAACCAGTAGAACAGATCAATGATACCAAGAGCTAGTTTTTTGAAAGAATAAATCAACTTGATAAACCCCTAGCCAGACTTATCAAAAAGTAAAGAGAAAGGACCAAATAAATAAAATCATGAATAAGAGAGGTGAGATCACAACCAATACCACAGAAATACAAACAATATAAGAGAATATTTTTACACTAACAAATTGGGCAATCTGGGAGAAATGGACAAATTCCTAGAAACATATAAACTACCAAAACTGAAACAGAAAGAAACAGAAAATTTGAATGGACCCATAACCAGCAAAGAAGTTGAATCAGTAATCAAAAATCTCTCAACAAACAAGAGTCCAGAGCCAGATGGCTCCCAGGGGAATTCTACCAAACACCTAAAGAAGGTTCTTTATTCTTCTGAGGCTGTTACAAAAAAATAGAAATAGAAGAAAAACTTCCAAACTCATTCTACGAGGCCAACATTACCTTGATTCCAAAACCAAGGACCTCACTAAAAAGGAGAATTACAGACCAATATCCCTGATGAACATGGATGCAAAAATTCTCAATAAGACACTAGCTAATCAAATTCAACAGTACATTAAAAGGATTATTCACCATGATCAAATGGAATTTATTCCTGGGCTGTAGGAGTGGTTCAATATCTGCAAATCAATCAATGTGATACTCTACATTAATAAAAGATAAGAACCATATGATCCTCTCGATACATGCAGAAAAAGCATTTGACAAAATATATCATCCTTTCTTGAAAGAAACCCTCAAGAGAGTAGGGATAGAAGGAACATACCTCAAACCTCAACATCATAAAGGCCATATATGAAAGGTCCACAGCTAATATCATTCTCAATGGGCAAAAACTGAGAGCTTTTCCCCTAAGGTCAGGAACATACACAGATCTCCACAGTCACCACTATTGTTCAACATAGTACTAGAAGTCCTAGCCTTAGCAATCAGACAACAAAAAGAAATTAAAGACATCCAAAGCAGCAAGAAGAAGTTAAATTTTTACTCTTTGCAGATGACATGATATTCAAAATCTGTAATACTCCACCAAAAAATTGCTAGAACTGATGAATTCAGCAAACTGGCAGGGTATAAAATCAATGTACAGAAATCTGTTGCATATCTATACACTAATAATGAAGTAGCAGAAGGAGAAATCAAGGAGTAATCCCATTTATGACTGCATCAAAAACCATAAGATACCTAGAAATAAACCTAACCAAAGAGGCCAAGTATCTCTACTCAGAAAACTATAGAACACTTATAAAAGAAACTAAAAAAGACACAAAGAAATGGAAAAACATTCCATGCTCATGGATTGGAAGAACAAATATTGTTAAAATGTTAAATTGGATAGAAACATGCAGAAGAATGAAACTGGACCACTTTCTTACACCATACACAAAGTAAGTGCAAAATGGATGAAAGAAATAAATATAAGACAGGAAACTATCAAAATCCTAGAGGAGAAAATATGCAGCAAACTCTTTGACCTCAACCAAAGCAATTTCTTACTAGACATGTCTCCAGAGGCAAGGGAAACAAAAGCAAAAATGAACTATTAGGACTTCATTAAAATAAAAGGCTTCTGTAGAGTGAAGGAAACAATCAACAAAACTAAAAGGCAACTGACAGAATGGGAGAAGATATCTGCAAATGACATCATATAAAGGGTTAATGTCTAGAATCTAGAAAGAACTCATCAAAAGCAACACACACAAAATATAGAATCCAGTTAAGAAATGAGCGGGAGACATGAACAGACATTTCTCCAAAGAAGACAAGCAAATGGCTACCAGACTCATGAAAAAATGCTCAGCATGACTATGGATCAGGGAAATACAAAGCAAAACCACAAAGAGATATCACCACACACCTGTCAGAATGGCCAAAATTAACAACTCAGGAAACAACAGATGTTGGTGAGGATGTGGAAAAAGAGGAAACTTTTGCACTGTTGGTGGGAATGCAAACTGGTGCAGCCACTTTGGGAAACAGTATGGAAGTTCCTCAAAAAGTTAAAATGAGAACTGCCTTACAATCCAGGAATCACACCACTGGACATTTACCCAAAGAACACCAAAATACTAATTCAAAGGGATACATGCATCCCTATATTTATTGCAGCATTACTTAAAATATCCAAATTATGGAAGCAGTCCAAGTGTCTATCAATAGATGAAAGGACAAAGATGTGTTATATACATACAATGGAATATTATTCAGCCATCAAAAAGGATGCAATCTTATTATTTGCAAAAACATGGATGGAGCTAGAAAGTATTATGTTAAGTGAAAATAAGTCAGAGGAAGACAAACACCATATGATTTCACTCATATGTGGAATTCAAGGAAAAAACAAATGAGCAAGGAAAAAAAGAGAAAGAGAGAAAGAAGTAAGCCAAAAAACAGACTCTTAACTCTAGAGAACAAACTGATAGGTGTGGGGGGGGTGTCTGTGGGGAGTGGGGCGATAGGATTTTCTTGTTCACTTGTTATGATAACAGCAGCAGATAATGTATGGAATTGTTGATGCACTATATTATATACCTGAAACTAATATTACACTGCATGTTAACTAACTGGAACTTAAATAAAAACTTTAAAAAAACAAAACAGGGGGCGCCTGGGTGGCTCAGCGGGTTGGGCCGCTGCCTTCGGCTCTGGTCATGATCTCAGGGTCCTGGGATCGAGTCCCGCCTTGGGCTCTCTGCTCGGCAGGGAGCCTGCTTCCCTCTCTCTCTCTCTGCCTGCCTCTCTGTCTACTTGTGATCTCTCTCTGTCAAAACAAAAACAAAAACAAACAAAAAAAACAAAACAGGGGCACCTGGGTGGATCAGTCGGTTAAGCATCCAACTCTTGATTTCAGCTCAGGTTATGATCTTAGGGTCTTGAGATCAAGCCCCACATGGGGCTCTCCACTCAGCAGAGAGTCTGCTTGAGATTCTTTCCCTCTTCCTCTGCCCCTCCTCTCTCTCTCTCAAGTGAAATCTTTAAAAAGTAAAAAAAAAAAAGAAACCAGAAAACAAAAAGTTAAAGAATGAAGATGAGGTCCTTCTATAGCTACAGTCACTTGGGTAATTTGATATGTGACATTGGGTAATCAATTAAAATTCTTTTAAAAGCCTTCTTTTTAAAAAAAAAAATATTTGATTTATTTGACAGAGAGAGAGGGAGTACACAAGAGGGAGAAGTAAGCTCCCCACTGAGCAGGGAGCCCAACACAGGGCTCGGTCCCAGGATTCTGGGATCACGACCTGAGGTGAAGGCAGATGCTTAACCAACCGAGCCACACACATGCCCCTAAAAAGGTTTTTTTATAAAAGAGAGAAAAAAAAACCTCTATGAGTGAGTAGGGATTATTCCCTTCTTCAGGATCACCACTGCAGTGGATAAAGCCCCTTAAAAGTGAATGTTGTCACTTTGTGAAGAAACTTCTCCAATATCCTAAGTGTCTTTCAAAGTATGATTTATTACCTCCAATAATGTTTAAATATAGGATGAAATTATCCAATTACTTTTCAAATAAACTTGTCAGGAAAGTATAAATCATAGCTCAGTGAAAGACAAGGAAATTCATAATATCCTGCTCTGTATCCATTCAGAATATGAATTAATCAGTCATGCTCAGAATGAAGTGAAGTTAGATGTCTCATGCAAGTGAACAACTATGTGCCTTACACTCTTAAAAATAACTTTAGTTTGTGGGGAAAAAAAATGAAGCCTTGCCATTTGCAATGACATGGGTGGAGCTAGAAAGTGTAATGCTAAGCAAAATAAGTCAGTCAAGGACAAATACCATATGATCTCTCCCATATGTGGAATTTAAGAAATAAATGAGAGAGAGACAAACCAAGAAACAGACTCTTAACTATTGAGGACAAACTGGTGGTTACCAGAAAGGAGGTGGGGGAGGGCGGGGATGAGGATTAAAAAGTACACTTATCATGATGAAAATAAAATAAAATAAAGTGAAATGAAGTAAAGTAAAGTAAGATAAAACAGAAAAAAAAGAAGAAAAGAAAACACAGCTAACACTTTCAGAAACAGAAATGGACAAGTTATTCGGTGTGTCTGTGTTCGATAACCCAAACATCAAAGGAATGTATGGCTGTGTAAAGGGCTTTAATAATTGACTTCCTGGACTACTCTGGCTGTAAGCTCCAGAGAAGTTTGTGGAAGTCCTGGGCTTACATGTGACTATGACATGCTTAAGGTTGACAATTTATGGCAGCATTTGAGGAAAATAAAATGATTCATTTTGAAAATGAAACCAATGTGTTAGATTCCAGAAGAGGTGATATGTGTATTCTTTTTAGGGTACAAAAAATGAAAAGCTACTGGCCTTTCGGTCATTTTTCTGTTTTGTAAAGAGAAAGTAGGGGGCACCTGGGTGGCTCAGTGGGTTAAAGCCTCTGCCTTCGGCTCAGGTCATGATCCCAGGGTCCTGGGATCGAGCGCCACATCGGGCTCTCTGCTCTGCAGGGAGCCTGCTTCCTCCTCTCTCTCTCTCTGCCTGCCTCTCTGCCTACTTGTGATCTCTGTCTATCAAATAAATAAATAAAATCTTTAAAAAAAAAAAGAAAAAGAAAAAGTAGAATCTCACCCTGCACTTAACTGTCTTCATCCTTTCTCTCAGAACCAGTTCCATTCACATTGATTTCCTGGGAAGATTTCAGAAAACTGATTCTTTCCAATTTCAGTATATGTGCTGCTGCAGCAAGCACCTGGAAACATATTCTCAATCAGCGTGTACTCACTCGATCTTGCTGAATGGCCTGAATGTGCATCTCCTGACCAGGCTGATGGCTGTTAAAATTCAGAGGCAGGAAGTCCTGACTGCTGGTGTGACATGTGGTGTGTTGTTTTTCTACCCAAACTTGGCAGGGCCTCTATTTTATAAAAAAAATCTTTGCCAGATACTTTGATCTATTGGCTGATACTGCTAGCAGGTAAGCAAATGAAGCATCAGACAATGAAATTTTTTTAAGATTTTTTTTTTTTATTTGAGAGAGAGGGTAAGGGAGTGAGGCAAAGGGAGATAGCATCTCGAGCAGGCCCCATGCCCCGCAGAGACCAACACAGGGCTGGATCTCACAACCCTGAGATCATGACCTGAGCTGAAATCAGTAGTCAGACACTTAACTGACTGAGTCACCCAGGAGCCCCACTTCACCCACTGTTTTTAATCCATTTCTTTCACCACCCTAAATGTCTGCTCAAAAATGGGGATTTCAAGCTGACCTAGATCCTTTTAGTTGAAAGATCTCTTACAAGCCATCTAGCAAGCTCCCCTCAATTCTACAACTGAGGAAACAAACCCCAGGAAAGCTGAGGGCTTTTGTCCACCCTCACACTATAAGGTAGGTGGAGGTAGAGCCAGGATTCTGCTCACATCTCCCCTTCCTTGTACATAACATGCCAGTTCTGCACTCTGAGGCAGCCAGTGAGGGTTAACAGGGTGGTCTGGCTTCTTTAACTGGTCAAAATTCTGATAAGATTTCTTTCTAATTTGATGTAAGTCATATTTTATTTTATTTTATTTTATTTTGAGTAAGAAGAAGCTTATAAACCCCAACCATTTATGTGAATTACCATCTAATTTCTTTAGAATTATGAAACAGTGGTTTATATTGGCAGGGAATACACTGTAACAATGCAGAAATATTCTTTTGGGATGCAGTAGTAATTGTGATGAACATGGGGGTCTTTTCATAGAATTCCCAATACGCATACACTTTTTGGATCCTAAGTCAAATTGCTAAAATTTTTAAACCTAATATTTTATCACCAACATTTCTTTAATGGTATTTTTTTTGGTCATTTACTGATCTTCCTGGATGTGATAATGTTCTATAAGAGGATATACATGCGTTTTTTTTAGAAGATGAGTCTCATGAGTTGAAATAGCTGAGGTCCTTCATGTTTGTCATATTTACTAAAGTAGTTGGTACAAAATGCATCAAAACCTATAGGAGTAGCTTTATGTAAATGCTTTGAGAGCTTGCCTAGTATGTGTTTGGAAACATGAAGAACACCAACGTTGCTGAAACGATTACAGCTC